AGTAAATTACCAGTCTTGAATGAAAAAGCCAAGTGAGAGCTTGAGGTCCTAAGTTCAAGCCCCAGTACCAGCACACACATGCACATATGCACACACACACACACACACACACACACACACACACACACCTGTACAAACAAATCAATCCCAAGGCATGGACAAATAAACAAGTGATATGAATATACTTCATCCATGAAATCTAATGGGAAGCCTCAAATTTAAATTCACTCAGGTTAATTTCCCCATCCGTTCATGTTGGAGGCTGAGTTCTTGTGTCATTATTGGTATATCACTCTAGTTCCAAGGTGAACACGAAGTCTGTGCAAGGGGCTCCAACCCAACAGGGACCTCCACCCAGTGAGAAAAGTGCAAGATTGGAGAACTATGGAATGTGAGCTTCTGCTTCACTTTATGACCTGTTATCTCGTTTGCTAGACTCATTCATAGAACATAGATAAAGCACCTGAATGACAGGATTTTTACTATCTGGTGATTCTGGACGTAAGAGGCTGAGATCAAAGTATCTCCTGGGTTGACTCCTGCTGATGGCTGAGGAAGATTCTATCTCATGCCTCCCTCCCCTTGCTGTGCTTTGATGACTGTGCTTATGGTGCCTTGGCTTGTTAGGAGCATCTGCCCAGCCTCTGCCTCCATCCTTAGTAGTCCCCAGATCTTCCATTTTAAATGAAGATACCAGTCACTTTGGATGAGAATGAGCTCAACCTGACTTGATTACTTGTGTAAAAGGTCCTATCTGAAGATAATGTCTCTCCAGATAACAGATAAATTACATACTAAAGTACTGGGCAACAGCAGGAGGTATTAAGATTTTAGGATTCCAAGCCAGGCACTGGTGACTCCTGCCTATAATCCTAGATACTCCAGAGGCTGAGATCTGAGACAGGACAGAAGCCAGCCCGGACAGAAGCCAGCCCAGACAGACAAATCCATCTCTACTTAATTAGTAAAAAGCCAGACAAGGAACTGTGGCTCAAGCAGTAGAACAAAAGAAGCTAAGTGAGCATGCCAAGTCTAGAGTTCAAACCCCAATACCAACACATAAATAAATACATAAATGAATAAATAAATATTAAAACACTAGGAGGTCATCTTCTCTAAATTAATATGCTAAATAACATACTATCTCTAAAGTAATATGGACCAGATCCATATTAATCCAAATTTGAACTTACAACAATTGGTGTTTGAGTTCAAAGACTCTAAAGAAATTGATTGATGACAATATCTTTATGATAGGAATTGGGATCAGTAGCCATGCGGCATGTCAGAGCCTGAGACATTCAGTTCTCTTTAGTTATCAGCATCCCCACATTCTCGGCAAGTTCCTCCACCCCATGTTCCCATCACCATGATGGCACTTACATAGCTAAGAAAATGTCACCTGCCCATTTTGCAAATGGATATATTAGACCCTAAATGACCAAGTTACCTATCTGACACCGTTAAGCAAGTAGAGAGTCTAACAATGCCTCTCATCTGAAAACTAGCTCATTTTCCTCCCTTGCGTACTTCATGTATTTCTTTGTGTTTTATTTTTCCTAAGGGCTTTATAGCCATTTCTTTCATTTGCAATCTGCTCTTAGTTCTACAAATCTATTTTTCTCTTCGATCAGTATGTTATTTCTTTTCTTGACTAAAAAAAAAAAACAGCTTCACTAAAAACATGCTGCAGATCTCCTACACTTCAGTAAGTACAGAAGCTAAAATGGACTGACTTTACTGTGTATTGGGTAGTTCATCTAATGGTGTCATCTGAAGGAATGGCCTCTGATTTGAAAGTGTGAGTGCTCACTCGCCATCCTCCGGCCTGGATGGATGGGATCTGAGGGGAATACATGTTATGGGATGTTTTGACTAGGTAGGACCCTGGACATCACGCAGGCCAACCTTCTTTAATACCAAATGTTGGCCCAAACTAAAACTCAGAAGGCCAAGAGGCTTCCCTGGGTCACACAGCAAGGAGTGTATAAGCCAAGCCAAAAGCCAAATTCAAATTTTTCTTCTGACTCTTCACCTAGGGTCCATTAAACCTCGAGATGTTACAGGTATGGGCTCACCTTGTTACCTTTGGCTTGCCTTCACATTTCAAAGCTAAAAAAAAAGAAGAAGAAGAAGAATTGTAATAGAATGGTAGGTTATCGAGGTGGTGTTAATTAGTTTATAAAGACAAAGAAAACTTTCTGGAAAACTACTTTCTTGTGTATGCCTGTACTAGAGTTTGAACTCAGGGCCTAGGGGCTATGCCTGACATTTTTACTCCAGGCAGGCTCTCTAACTACTTGAGCCAAAGTTCCACTTGAGTCTTTTGGGTGCTTAAGTGGAGATGAGTCTCGTGGACTTTCCTATTTAGGCTGGCTTCAAACCAAAATCTTCAGATCTCAGTCTCTTGAGTAGCTAGGGTGACAGGTGTGAGCAACTCACACTCGGTTACCCAGAGGTGTTCAGAGGGCACTGCTTTGGGTCTAGACAAGCATGGCCAAACGCTAATAACTGAGAGATGTCCTCCATGACAAAGGCCATGGGTGGTTCCAGACAGAGCTAGAGGTCCCAGTGAAGCAAGCTCACCCACATCTGGATAGGTCCTGGAAGGGTTCAGGAGACTATTCAAAGAATATTAAGGCAAACATGCAATCCTATGTCTATTTTAAAGTGATTAATCCATTGTTATCACAAGATGGACAGACAGAAGGACGTGCTCATAGACCTCCTGCTTTCACCTAGTAGGCCTCTGTTGAAACACCTCAGTATTTTTTGATCATCTGTTTCATGTGTCTGTCTGTCTGTCTGTATGCCAGTTCTGAGGGGGGGGGGGGGGAGAGGCATGTGACCTTAGGGCCTGGACACTGCTCCTGAGCTTTTTTTGCTTAAGGCTAGCCTCTAGCACTGAGCCACAGCTCCCCTCCTGGTCTTCTCATGGTTAATTGAAGGTAAGAGTGTTACAGACATTCTTCTCCAGGCTGGTTTCTAACTGTTATCCTAAAATCTCAACCTCCTGATGAGTAGCTGGGATTACAGGTGTATGAGCTATGGACTCCTGGCTTTTCTTTTTTTCTTTTTCTTTTTTTTTTTTTGAAATAGAATCTTACTTTGTCGTCCAAACTGACCTTAAACTCATAATCCTTTTGCCTCATCCTCCCAAAGTACTGGGGTTACAGCTGTTATCTTGTTAATGAAATGCAACCCAGTTAGTCAATGTTGCTATTATTAAAACAGCAGCCACTTAATGGATATTTTTAAATGATTGTTTTTCTGTCTCATTGAAGAAAGTTATGTTTGCCACATTAGAGCTGTAATTTCAAATTGCATTTGGGCTCATTGCAAACATTCTCACTGTAACGAGCTTTGATTTAAATGACACATTTCCAGCACATACAACAGGAATGAGTCAAAAGCTCAGCTATCAAAGTAATGGTAAAGTGTCATCCTTCAGTTTCATGTTGGCTGCTCTGGGTTAATTCTTACAAGTTTGGTGAAATAAGTATATAGAACCCACAGAACAATGCACCAACTTCATATCAGGAAAGTTTGGATGATTCATGCAATGATGTCATCAATGTCAGTCTCATACAAATTCACTTGCTTTGACTTTAAAAAGGTTATCAAGCTGGGTGCCACTGGCTCATACCTGCAATCCTAGGTACTCAGAAGAGTGAGGCCTAACGATCCTGGTTCAAAATCAGCTGAGGCAGGAAAATCAGGGAGACTCTTATTTCCAATTAACCAAAAACTGCCAGAAGTAGACCTGTAGTTCAAGTGGTAGAGCAACTAGCCTTGAGTACAAAAGCTCAAGGACAGCGCTCAGGCCCATTGTACCAGCCCCAGGACCAGCAAAAGAAAAAGGTTATCAAGCTGGGCACTGGGCGCTCACATCTGTAATACTAGCTGTTCAAGAGGCTGAGATATGAGAATCAGGGATCAAAGTCAGCCTGGGCAGGAAAGTCTGCAATCAACCAGCAAGAGGCCAGAAATAGAGGAATGACTGAAGTAGTAGAGTGCCAAATTTGAGCACAAAAGCTGAAGGACAGCATCCAAACCCAGAGGTCAAGCCCCACGACTGGCATGTGCACACATGCGCGCGCGCACACACACACACACACACACACAAAGGTGTGTTAGTGTCATCTCAACACCTGGTATATAGACCTAAGTGTAGGATATACAAGAGTGCTACTGTCTATTATTATCATTTTGACAATTTGAGTTATCTTTTGGGTATTTCTCTGAATGATAAACAGCTTGTAAGTGGGATGGAAAATTGGAAAATTGAAGTTTTAAATGCTTTTATCTCAAGCAGATGATGATACCTTGAACAGCAAGTCCTCAAGCTTTGAGCTAACTGTATGACAATGGCTCTATAGTGAGAGATATTAGACTAATAAAATGTGCAGGCTTGGAGTCAGGGTTAAGTATGAATTATTATATCTACTGACTTCCTCTGATGTAAATTTTTATAACATGTCTCTTTCCGACAAACAATATACAATACACTCAAGAAACTGCTATTGAATAATTGTAGGTTTTCTCTGCAAAAGAAGATGGTTTTATTTTATTTAGAAAATTAATGTGTTCTAACTAGGCACTGGTGGCTACCCAGGAGGCTGAGATCTGAGGCTCACTATTCAAAGTCAGTCAGGGCAGAAAAGGCCCTGAGACTCAGCTTCAATTAACCAACAGAAAACCAGAAGTGGAGCTGTGGCTCACTGTGGTAGGGCAACAGCCTTGAGCAAAACAGCTCAGGGATAGCACCCAGGCCCCTGAGTTCAAGCCCTAGTACTGACGCTGATAAAAAGCATGTTTGCTGGTGACAAAGCCCACTCCTACTTAATCCATTCCCTGTTCCTAAAACAAGGGGAAACAGTGGAGCTTCTGTCTGGCCTACAGCTGTTCTAATGTGGACTTCCCTGAGTCATTTGATTTTAAATAAAATATCCAAAAACCCTGAAAACAACAGCTATTCTGTATCTGTTCATCTCTTCTAGGTTGGACGAATTGAAGATTTTCTCTACCAATTAGAGGACAGTTTCTTAAAAACTAAAAAACTGAGAAATGCTCGAAGACAAAAAACAAAACTGAAACGACTTCAAACCGCACAGCAAAACTAGTCTACGGGGAGCCAGCATTCTTACAAGACATCCCAGGAAAGAGGCCAGCTGTGATGGCTGGGTAACAAGGACCATCACCAAAGGAAAAAGGTGGCACTCCCCCTGGTTTATCTCTAGCAAAGACATTCTCTCCTTCATTAATCTCCACTGGCAGAAATAAATGTTCTCAGCCAGTTGACTTGACTCTTGTTCACATGTGTCTTGTTTAGTTAAAGAGCTCATAAAATACCCATTTCTGCCTCTATTGCCTGCCTTGTTCTTTATAAGTTGTCCAAGGTATACAGGGTCTGCCCAGGAGCATATGGCATATCTGTAGTGTAGGTCTTACATCCCTGAGTACTCCTTGGGAATTACTTACATGCCACATGAAGATCTGAAGGCACATTTAGAAGCACAAAGCAGAAAATGTAGTTGATTGATCCTTATAGAGATGGTCATAGGATGATTTGGCTGATATCATTGGTTAGGTTATTAATATTTCTCTTGGGTTTGTTCGACTCGGGGTCTCCAGTGTTCTCATAGCTTGCTTGCATGGCTGGTGGTCTATCACTTGAATCAAACCTCCAGTCCAGATTATTGCTGGTTAATTGAAGATAGAGTCTCAGAGAGTTTTCTACTCAGGCTGGCTTCAAACTGTGATCCTCACATCTCAGCCCCAAGAGTAGCTAGGGTTACAGGCATGAGCCATCAGATCCCAGCTAAAATCTAAATTCTTGCTTATGGGTCTTAAACTGCATTGTACCCATCTCTTAATGGACAAAACACAGATTCACATATTTGACAAGGTAGTTATAAACATGACAGGCACTGGTTGCTTATACCTATAATCCTAGCTACTCAGGAAACTGAGATCTCAGGACTGCCATTCAAAGCCAGCCTGGACAGGAAAGTCCATGAGACTCTTATCTCCACATTAACAAGCAAAGTGCCAGAAGTAGAGGTATAGCTCAAGATGAGCACTGTCTAGGCCCTGAGATCAAACCCCAGTACCATTCTCTCTCCTCTCTCTCTCTCTCTCTCTTACACTCACACACACACGAAGATTCCAACTCTCCAAGTCATGCCAACAAAGAGCTTTGAAAACACACAAAATAGAAAACAATTTCTTAAATATCAGAAAAAAAATAAGATCTCATAGTACATGAATACCAACATAAACAGAAAAAAAGGAGCAAAACACTTCATACTGACATTGTCTTTCTTCGTGGGAGGAGCACACAGATGTGAACTCCTTTGTCAGTCATTCCCTCTACAGTTGAACCATATCACCACCCCTCAAGTTCTCTGAATACAATGAGATTGTGAAGAGATGAATTAATACCAATCTTAAGATTAGATCTGCTTGGTTAAAAAATGCAAGATACAAATATAGTTAAAAATAGACTTTAAAATATTACAAACTCTCTGGGAAGTATTTGCTTAATTCTTCTTTTGCTCAAATATTCTCCACTTTTCTACTAGAATCAACACAGACATTCTACTTTCTCTGGCACTTTCACTCATGTTAGATATTGATAGAATTATAACCATTTAACGACAATGAACTTAAAGGCTCCTTTTTGTTTCTAACACTTACATCGGAGCAATTTCAGTTCTGTTCTTACAAATATTGGAAAACGTGTGTGTGTGTGTGTGTGTGTGTGTGTGTGTGTGTGTGTGTGTGTGTGAGAGAGCACTGTGCTTAAATTCAGAGCCTGGGCCTTGTCCCTTAGCTTTTTCACTCAATACTGATGCTCTACAACTTAAGCTACACCTCCCTCCACTTCTGGCTTTTTGCTAGTTAATTGGAGATGAGAGTCTCTCAGATTTTTACTTCCCAGGCTGGCTTAGAATCACAATCAGTTAAGATTACAGTCATAAACCACTGCTTTGAATGCACATGCATGTATCTGCGCTCACACACACACACACACACTTTGAAAGTAGCAAATAGTCTTTGCTATTTGGTGATGAGATACAGTTTCAGAGCTGGTAGTTCACATTTTCCTGTATCACACAAAGTGGCAAATCTTTGCTTTGAGATTAGGTGATACAGTTTGTGCAAAAAGCCCAAAGGTGCGACAGAACCAAATTGGTGCACAGAGCAAAGGTCAACTGAGTCACTCCAGCCTGCACCCAGGGTCACATGGGCCTAGGAAGCAGACACACATGAAGGCTACTACATGGACACAGAGAACAGTCCAAGGAGAATATTGTAAAAGAACAACTGAGGCCTTTGTACCAGCATGAGTATCTACATGCCGGCCTGGATGGTTAGAAAGCACTGAGCTGCCAGACACTCCACGTTTCTGATGTCAATACACTTTTCATGAATTAAAAATCTGACTTGGCACTGGTGGCTCACACCTGTTCGCTTAGCTGTTCAGGAGCCTGAGACATGGGGGATCGAGGTTCAAAGTCAGCTCATCTGTAATTAACCAGCAAAAAGCCAGACAGAATGGAGACACAGCTTAAATGACAGAACATCAGTCATGATCAAGAAAGCTAAGTGAGAAGTGAGTTCAAGCCCCAGTAATGGTGCGCTCATTCTCTCTCTCTCTCTTTCTCTCTCTCTCTCTCTCTCTCTCTCTCTCTCTCTCTCTCTCTCTCTCTCTCTCACACACACACACACACACACACACACACACACACAAATAGCTTGTCAGTGCATATCAAAAGCCCTCAGATGTTTATATCTTTGGGCCCCAAAACTCCACTTCTAGGAAATCAAACTAAAGAAATAATCAAACACATATTACAAGATAAAAGTTCAAAAGCGTTCACCAGAGTTATTTTAACAAGAAAGCATCAAGGAACCCAGCCAAAATTTCCCAGCACAGGTATTAGGCTAAATGATTTATGATGGTCTATTCAATGCTTAACTTAATAATATATAAAAATGTTATAATGTTAAAAGGAAAAAGGAAAACTATATATAGCATAATTATAATGAGATTATAAAGTACATGCCTATAAAAGACTGGAAGGAAATACAATGGATGTTAAGAATGGTTATCTTTAGTGGGACACTTATGGGTGATTTTATTATCTTTTCCTTAATATTATACAATCTGTTCCTTGATAATAAAAATAATCTTTTTAAAATATTATTTAGTATCTGCAGAGAAAAATTAATTCAGATCTGCTCTTCCTCTGTCCAACTCTTGCTTCATGGATCCTAGTTACTGCACAGAAGCCAGAGGAAGTGCTTTATTTACAGAATTCTGGGGGGGGGGTGCAAATGACTTTTACAACCCCCTCTACCCAGAATCCCTTGGCACGGGCAGTCCAAAGGATCAGTGAAGAAGCCATTAAACAGAGGACCCATTCCAGCATCTCACCAATGTTGACAAAGAACTACAAGCAAGTTGTCTCTCACCTCCCCCGCGTGCTCCTCATCACTTTCTCCTCTGATTATTTCGTTTGGTGCTTTCTCTGTACTCACAAGACATCATCTCATGAAATATGGGATGATCACGGGCCAAGCATCCCTTAAATCAAAGTGTATTGAAAGTTGAGAGACCACTGGCAGAGGAAAACTTTGATTTACAGTGGCTTGATTCATGGAGATGGTATGATGGCGTCTAAGTTCAATCAGATATATCACAAGTTGTCTGATCCACTCAGCAGTTCTCTGCGCTAGTGGACATGGATGGGAAGGGTGATCGCACAGCCCTGACAGCCTGCAGATTGTCAAGATGGAATGCAGTGACGCCAGGAGTGCACACGTGCTTTTTTGAAGGAAGGAAAATCAGAAAAGTGGCCCAAAGAGCATCTCAAGAGTTACAAACATCAGCATGTTCTGTTTGTGCCTCAGAGAAGGGAATCCAGAAACACTAACACTATCTGAGATGATCAGACTTCAGAATCTTTCTTCATAATGCGTTATATAATAAGTGGCTTGATGGGAGGAGGTATGGCTTAGTTGGTAGGGCACTAGTCAATGAACAAAAGCAGCAGGTGCCAAGTTCGAGTCCCAGTCTCAGACCTAAAAGAATAGGAAAGGAAAAAAAAATAAATGAAATGGGGATTTGAAAATTAAATATTGGAAATGTATGTGTGTTGTAATCTTCTATTGAAAGCAATGTGCAGAATTAATCTGCACAATAACCCAGGCTTTAACTCTTTTTAAATATCTGTTTGGGGAAGTTGAAAGACAAATATTTAGTGAGGCATTGGAAGACTGAATCTCTGCTCAGAAGCCTTGCCTGGCAGGGTTACAGATATTATGAGCAGTGGTGTCTGGTCCTCCTTCCTTGAAGCTAGAGGAGCTGGTGAGCTGTAGAAGTATATCTTTGCAATGTAAATGCCTAAGAGCAATGTTTCTCACTCCGTTCACCTTAACAGATGATGGGAAGAGAGAGGGGATCATAACCCAGACAGCAAAGTGGGTTGAAATCTGAAAGATCTGGGATCTAGTCCCAGCACACCAAAAGAATCACACCAAAAAATGTGAGGCAATCACACCTTCACCAACAACTTGCCATAAGCTGGGCCTTATCCCCATTCGTGCTCACCACACACCTGACACAGGAAACCTTCTCTTCATTTCACAAATGAATGAAATGATCGGAAAGCACAGACGTTTCCTCAAATCTAGACAGCAGCAAAGCTAGAACTCAAGCCGAGGCAGCTCTACTGGAGAGTAGGAATTTAATCCACTGGGTTTGTGTGTTTCCTTATTACAGTGCTAGTTTAGAACCTTGTGAGTCCTAATTAACTATATATTCCTGAAATACAGAACTGACCCTGGGATGGCAACCGCTATGGTAATCATCAGTAATATGGCAGTTATCTACCTCTGAAAGATGTCCAGGGTAACCAAAGGACGAAGTTCTTTTATTTAAACTTGGAATTTTTTAGTTTGAACTTTCAAGATGACACCTCGTTTGTGTGTGTATGCACATGCTTGCCAGGCCTGGGGCTGAACTTTTAATTTTTTTTCCTCAAGGCTAGTGTTCTACCACTTGAACCACAACTCCATTTTGGCTCCTTGGAGGTAAGAGTCTCGTGGGCTTTTT